TTGAATAAAATAATTAAGAAAAATTCTGTAGGCATTTTAAAGAGTTGAGAGGTTTGTCATTTTTATCCTGTAAGTAGCAGTAACTGATGTATGAAATATATCTGTACCTGTGTTATTTTTTCTATGACATTTACCCCCTGTGTACTATTATTTAATAATTGTAGGCTTATTCAGTTGTGGGATATGCCATACAAAGTTGTACTAGATACATTAACAATTGTTTTTAGTAGGAAAGATGAAGAGCAATAGTCAGAATATTTGAATGGTCATTAGGAGGTCATTAGGATCATAAGGTTGGAAGGGCCTTTGGATGTCTTCTAATTCAATTCTCTACCCAGCACAGAAATGTTTAGACCATCCAAACAGATGGTTGTCCAGCCTTTGTTTGAAAGTATCCAGTGATGGAGCACTTCAACTCCAAGAAGTAGGGTGTTCCATTCTTAATGGCTCTCCTGGTCTCGTCTTATTTTGAGTTTGGATCTTAACTCTTAAAACTCTGTAAAGCTTCCACTCACTGATTTATGTCCTACCCTCAGGTACTATGGACTATCTGATAATAGTGTTAGCAATAATATGAATAATAGTTTTTAATAAGCATGGTAGCTTCTAGTAGTCACCTTGTTCTTTCTACGTGCTTGCAAACCCCTGTTTCATTACCTTTTCTAAGTTTTTTCTGACTATTAATATCAGTTGATTGATCTGTATTTTCCTAGGTCTAATTTCCTCCCCTTTTTAAGGATTGTAACAATATTAGTTTGTCTCCAACCTTCACTATGCTGTCCCATCAACATCCTTTTCTAACCCATGGACCAAACATTTCCTCAACTCTCCTCTTGTCCGGTATATACCCAAAGATCTATTTTGGAGTTACTTTAGCTCATTCTAAGCCATAGCCTAATCCCATTCTTACAGATTTGGAATATTTTCTAATGTTTGGTTTTCGATATACAGGTAATTCTTATGACCACAATTGAGCCCTTATTAAGCAAAGCAGTGGTTAAGTGAATTTTGCCCCATTTTATGACCAACTCTTGCTAGAGTTGTTAAGTGAATCACTGCAATTGTTAGATGAATCGTGCAGTTATTAAGTGAATCTGATTTCTCCCATTGACTTTGCTTGTCAGAAGCTGGCTCAGAAGGTTACCAACAGTGATCACATGACCCCATGCAGTGCAGCTGTTATAAATACATGCCAGATGCCAAGCACCTGGATTTTGATCACATGACCATTGGGATGCGGCAACAGTCATAAGTATTTTGTTCAGTGGCATTGTTGGTGAATAGTTTTGAATCTCATCAGCTTTCTCTCATTTTTCTTCTCTGTTTGGTATTGTTTGTGTTTGGGCCATAATTATCTGTTTTGTTTTGTTTTTTCAAAAATCTCCCAACTCTCCTGAATTATTTTTTTCTTCAGAATTTCTATCCATGGAATTCTTTCTGCTTCCCTCCCCCCCATGCTTATTGAAGACATTTGTCCAGAAATCTAGAACAATAAACAGACTAACTTCTGTTGTCTCTGCCTTAGGTGAAGTATGCTGAGTTCATTCATGTGGTTACTCTTTCCAAGGGCTCCTACAATTTCTTCAGTAATTTATCTCCTGCTAATAGATATTAACTGATTGTCTAATTCTTTCCTCTACCTTTTGAGTGGTAAAGTTGTCTATAGGGCATATCAAGAACCTGCTGAATATCCCACTTGCCAGAATTGATTTCCAGTTCATGTTGGAGTAGTTGAAATCTCTCATTAGAGCAATGATGATTCCTGTACATAAATCTGATTTGTGAAAATTTCACCTATTTGATTGAATAGTCTGCATACACACCTGCACCAGAATAATTATTGTTTATTTTTCTTTCAATATTCAGCCAGGTGCTTTGGGCATAGTTTTCACCCTTGAGGTCCTGAATTTCCCTAGAAGTATTGTCATTGTTTATGTATAATATGACCCTTCTCCCCACTTTTGTTGGGTCTGTTTCTTTTAAACAAATTATATCCTTTCGATATTATAATCTAATACATTCTCTTCCACTAGGCTTCAGTAATACTAACAAAGTCATATTGGGACTTCAAGTTCGCCCTGTTTTTTTCTGAGCATTGATCATTCTCAGCATTCTGAGCATACTTTGAGCAATGGTGTACAGGTATCTGACTTCTTTAATACCATTGTTCTTGCCAGATCTCCTGGTATATTCCTGAATATGCCTTATTGATGCTTCCTTTTTTGCTGTATGGCTTACAGGCTTCAAACGTATGCTTTGAATATGGCTATGGCACGGGTGTCAAATTCGCAATGTCACGTGACGTGTCGCGACATATCACAACTTTTTTCCCATTGCTGGCAATGGGATGGGTGGGGTTTTGGTGTGACACATCCAGCCCGTAGGCCAGCAGTTTGACACCCCTGGCTACAGTATTGACCATAACCTGATGTATGATCTGTGGTATTCTCCTGCCTGATGTAATTTAAAACCCTTGTAGAAAAATTAATCAAGATGTTTTCCACAGTATTAATTTCAGTCTTTGTGAACTGCAGCCCATCTCTTACAAGAGGCCTTTCCTCTAGATAGCAATCAGACCAGAAAATCCAAAGTTTTCTCAGGGACACCATTCCTTGAGCCAGCCATTTACCTCCACAATTCTCCATTCCTTCCTTGGGCAGTGAAATTCAGTCAGCATGAATCTGTATCTAAATCTGTATCTAGATACTTTTTCTTTTCTTCCTAACTCCTCATGGTCCCTCAATATTCTTTTTAGGACCTTTTTGACTGTGTAATTTGCTCAAAAATGAAAAAAAAGAAAGGGATAATGATCAGTAGATTTGATTAATTAGATCAGTTTCTCCATCATGTTCTTTATAAGCTTCACTCCTAGGAATCAATAGATCTTCCTTGATAACATGTCTTGTTTGTTGATTGCTAATTTCTGTTCCTCTCAGCAATGAGCTGCTTTTCACCAATTTTCCTCTTGGGACAGCCACTGGATTGTTCACTCTATGAAATACTGGGTTTCTCTCCTTCCCGTGTCTTGAACCCTGGGTGAAAACCTATCTTTGTTTATGAGTTACTCTCAAGGTCGAAGGGTCTGAAGTTGAAATAAGGAGTGGTGGGAGAGGAAGGAGAACACAAATTAGTTATACAGATATAGGAGACAAAAACAACAGAAAATGGATTTGTAACACATTGCAATTGTTGGTTGATAAGGTTCTTGTAATCTATCTCACATGTAACTTGCACCTGCATAACCATCCTGTCTTCTCCTCCTTCCCACCCTGTCTCATCTGAGTTTAAACCCTATATCAGTCAAGCCACTTTTTGCATCTGATGAACTGAGCTACAGTTCATGAAAATTATGCCTATAAAATTTGTTTGTCAGAAAAGATGCTACCACATTCCTCTTGATTTGCAGTAAAATTACAGGCTTCAGGTTGAGGGACAAGTTGCTTAGTAATGCTAGCTTCACAAAAAATGGATAAGGATTTTAAGATTCTTAATTCTTCCTTAATATGGATTAAAATCCAATCTAGAAAACCGTTTAGTTAAGGTGTTGCTTTCGCAGGATGTTCTAGTTCATGTGCAAAATAACAGAAATATCTTAAATCTGTTTAGCAGGAATATTCCTTAGAGCCAAAGTAAAGATGCAGTTCTCTGAGTTGTGTAATTAGTAGAGATCATGTTTTTGTCAGGAAAGAAGAGAACATTTTAAAAATATTCTGGCTTTGGTGGGAAAAAAAGTATAGATCATTTCTAAATTAATTGTAGATGAGTGGTAAAGAGCTCATCTATCTCCATTAGGAAGTGTTAATCACGAAAATGAATAGAATTATTAGATGTCATTTTAAGAGAACAGATTTCATATTTGTTTTGTAAAATGCCATTTGTTGATTATGGAATGGAGTAATTGGTTTTTAGTTACTTTGAATTTAATTAACACAAGATAGTCTTTTTAACACAGTATCAAGCAATATACTAGAGCAGGGGTTCCATCATGCAATGCAAAAAAAGTCACAATATGTCATGACACATCACATGACGTGGTGAGTTTGACACCCGTGTACTAGAGTATCAATAATATAAAGACAAGCTGGCAAATTAAAAACAGAATTTATAAATGGATATTCTTGAACCAAGGTACTGGATGATAAAATAAACAAATCAGTATGGCGCACCTGAGATATCACAGGCCTATTATGACACTAAAGGAAAAAGCACAGTGGAGAAATGTAAGCAGGGAAGCTAACAGGAAATGAAAACAAGGGTTAGGGTTGTCACAGTCCTCTGTGATGAAATTTAAAATGAAGTAGTAGTGAAAAGGAAAGGCAGTACTTGCATTCTAAGAAATTAGCCTTCAGTCTAGTAAGGCTGATTTCTTGAAAACTAATTAAATCATTGGTTTAATGGTTATAAAGAAGTAGAAACTTCACTGTTTTTAAATATCTGAATGTTAGTAGATAGTCCAGAGCAACGTGGTGGCCTAGTAATGAAGACACTTGCCTCCCACTTGGAAAGTTGAGAGTTCAGTCCTAAGTAGCAGCAGATGTTTCTTGCCCAGGGTACAAAGAAAAAATATTTGCTGCTTCAGGAAAGGCATCCAGCCAGTAAACACTCAACTCCATCTAATAACCTTGACTCTATCCCAAATAAGGACTCCAGGCTCATAAAAAAGGGCATATTAGTAGATAGTCCTAGTATATTATACACTCTAATCAAAAAGTGATATAAAATTAGAAATGTGCCCACCAAGGAAAGTACATTATGCAAAAGCAAAAACTTTATCAAACATACTATATTTGAAAAGCAAAATGAACTTACCTAAATGTTAAGTGGGGAACTGGCTTTTGTCTTTTGCTTTGTATCCTGAAAAAAAAGAGAGAAGTATCAAGTCCCTTCTTTTACATACTGAATAGAAGAAATAAATAATAGCAATAGTTTTTGCAGAAAAATCAGAACTATAGAAAAGTTTTGTATTACATATACATATATACTCATTATTTATGTTTCAGAGCCTCCAGTGCCCATTGCACCTCCTCAGCTGTCATCAGTTGGTGCAACCTATTTATGGATACAGTTGAATGCCAATTCTATTAATGGAGATGGACCCATCATTGTGAGACAAATAGAATATCGCACCTCAAGTGGAAGCTGGTATGATATACAACCAGTGGATTCAACAAAGTATAAAATTGGACACCTGGATCCAGACACAGAATACGAAATTAGTGTATTGCTCACTAGACCAGGTGAAGGGGGTACTGGATCTCCTGGACCAGCACTTAAAACAAGGACAAAATGTGCCGGTAAGTAAAAAAAGTAATTCACAAACTCATCATGTTACTTGAAAAAACTGAATTTTAAAATTCCATTTCAACTATAAAACATTAAAACTAGCACTTGCTAAGTAGAGATTACTCAATTAGAACACTGTTAAGAGTTACTGCTTTCAGTTAAAATGAAGCATGTGTTTAATACTATAGTATATTATTTTTTATCCTTGCAAGTTTGGATCTGAATATAGTACTATCTCAGTCCAGGTAGGGAACAAATGCATTTATATGTCTTATATTCTGTTGTTACTTCATAAAGTTACTCCAAGGGAGAAAATTATTGCTGGCTCATCAATAGGCAACTTTCTGAGAGACCAGACATTCTCTTTAGAGATTCAAAATAAATGCTTAATGGTTAGACCCCTTTGTTAGCAATGTTTCAAGGTAAAGTACATGATAGTCTCCATTAATAAGATTCTTCATAATGACCACTAATAGATCTTAATTCTAAATTAATTCTATTTTTACCCAAACTGAACAAATGGGAAGAGAATAATCAAATCTGATTTCTATACCATTAAAAAAGGACACTCTACCAAAACATCTCACCTGTAAATATAAGAATAATAAAGAAATAATAAACCTAATTTTTGTTTTATTCTTTACCATTGATTTAACTTGTTGAAGTCCTTTAGGATACCCACCACTATGTTTTATAAGCCATCATTTGGCTTATAAAAATATAAACAACAAATTAAAATATTATCAAATAAATATTGTATAATTATATGAATATAATAGCAACATTAATAATAAGAGAGAGCAAATATTAAAATCTTTCCCCAAACCATCTTTTGCATCTTCCTAAAACTCAGTAGTAAAAGTTTTAGTAAAATGTTTTCTTGTGTAATTCTTGGGAAAATATATATCCTAATACGTTATCTGCAGGATTAGAGAGAACTGCTTAAAAATCAATTTTATTTTTTAGGTGGGTTAAAAATTACTACACTTTAAAAAAGAAGAAAAAATGTGATAATCATAAACAAGACAGTTTATTTTTTTAGTCAAACATCTTCTATTATACCTCTACTGGTGAGAATGAAATTTAATTATCAGTAGAATAGAATAGAATTCTTTATTGGCCAAGTATGATTGGACACAAAGAATTCGTCTCGGTTGCATAAGCTCTCAGTGTACATACAGGCAACAAGTGATAAATCAATAATGGGAGTATATGGAATTGTAGTTGTTAAGAAAGGATGCCAGTGCCACTTTCTGTTTATTCAGCAGTGTGATGCACAAATTGTTACAGTGGTAGGTTTGAAAATACACTAGTACCAGGTAGGTATGAAAGCAAAAGCAAAAGGTTAAAATAGCATCCACAGCTTACAGAAACTGTAAGTCCATTAACATTTTTTGTTTCCCTGACATCTTATTACTATTTTTAGCCAATTTGAAAAATATCAAGCAATGTTGAAACTTAATAGTGACATATAGTCTGTCACCATGGCAACTAATTTAATGATTTATACATGCCATGTCAATACAAATATGTATTGAAATGCTTAAAGTGTACATGTGTATTTATGTATGCATGCATGCATGTGGGTTTTTTAATGTTATTGGGTCCCCAGAGTATTTCATAGTTTGCAAGATGTAAAAAAAAAGAAATGTAATATATATATATAAATGTTTAAATGTCAACATGATAACCAAAATCTCACAAAACCAAAGATAACAAATTAAGATTATAGGTGGTTCTCAGGATTTACAGCAGGATTTATAAAGTTTGAGTAAAATAAAAGACAGTCAAGCTGCAGCCAAAATAAACTTTCTGTTCATTTGATGCAAAGGTCTCAGGTGGCCTACAGTGCATTTTTTTACAGTAGCTTACATTCTTCTCAGTTTACCTTTTATAGATTTAATTTGCAATTTATACACTCTGCATACTTGAGTGAATAAACACAAGCCAACAGGTCCTGTTGTTCCATGCAAAAATTTTTGTTGTAATTAGCACTGCTAGTTTTTCTTCTTGTAAATACAGTATTTATGGACTTCCAAATATTACTGACCTACAATTCTCACTTCCTGTAACCAGCTTGCCAGCATCAAGGAATGGCCATTCCTTATATAAATTGAAGCAGAACTTCAGTATAAATAACTAAGCCAAACAAATCCATGTACAAGTGATAAACATGAAATTTCAGTATATAAATAAGATTGTAGGAAACCCAAGAAAGGATGAATGTATGAGGTGAATACATGGACATAAAGGAAGTTGTGACAATTTATGATAGAAATATACAGTAATTACTTTACTATGTTACTCCTTACTCTTTTTCTATACTTTACATATTGTTCTTTCGATTGATTAAAATCAGTATTTACTCTTAGTGACCACATAGACAGATGATACTGTTCAATTGAAAGGAAATAGTATGTTGAGTGTCTATTTAAGTATACTAAAAAGAGTGCTATGGAAACATTCAAAATATTAAAAANAAGGAAGGACTCACTGGAGAAGAGCCTAATGCTGGGAAAGATTGAGGGCAATAGAAGAAGGGGACGACAGAGAATGAGGTGGCTGGATGGAGTCACTGAAGCAGTAGGCGTGAGCTTAAATGGACTCCAGAAGATGGTAGAGGACAGGAAGGCCTGGAGGAACGTTGTCCATGGGGTCGCGATGGGTCGGACATGACTTCGCAACTAACAACAACAACAACAATGAATAAAAGCTTCAGGCAGTCAAGGAATGTCTGCACCTAGAACATTTAATATAGAAGACCAAATACACCTACAACATTTTTAGAAGACCTAATATTTGTATTATAAAAAATTGAATTTCTCTAAAGGCAAGGCATAGCTAATAAAGACATGAATACTGAAGATAATTGCAGCTTCAATAAAGAAGAAAATCCTTTGGTCTAAAAATATTCCATTGAGTAAAAAGATACATTTTCATATCTTTTCTAAATTTGGTACCTTCTGGATGTGATAAGTTAATAGCTACCAGTATTCCTATTGCTGGCAGATATAAGTGAAATACTTTTTTTTTTCACCAGAATTTTAAAGGGCTTGGGCAAATAACAGTGTTTTTCTCTTGTTTTCCAATCCACTTCCTTCCACCAAGCAAGTAAGAGAAAGATTTGCTTCGCTATGATTTGTTTTGAAAAGAGAATCCTGTTCCTTCTTACTAATGCCATGCAAAATGAGAGGTTGGTTCCATTCTTGAGCTCCTCATATTTCTTAGTGGACTCATATAATCAGTAAGTTAAATAATAAAAACAAAGAATTGCTGAGTGCAACCAATCTCACATGTTTTATGCAGAGAGCTTCTGTGAAACTTCCCACTGCTCTTACTTGGAGGTAGTAATGTTTTTGTTTGCTATCCAGGGTCCTTTGAAATGCTATATGGTAGGATCCATTGCCCACCAGCATTACATTTACCTACATATTTGCTGATAATAATATATATATATATTACTATTTAGATTATACATTGTGGCAAACTCAACCTTAGTTTAGACATTTCATATCATCTTTAACAAAAAAGCTTTTTATAAAATAATCTTTTATTCATTTTTTCAAATTTATTTTTATTAAAATAATTAACGCATTTTATAAACATGATCAGCATATATTTTATTGCAATAAGTGATCAATAATTTAAATGGCCAAATTTAATTGTAAAGAGAAATCTGTTCTCTGCAGTTTGGGGACAGAACAAGTTCAAATTACAGATTAATTGAAATATATTTTTCATAAATATATTTAAAATTAAAACATGTTATTCTTTATTGGGGTACACTTACGAATTGTGAGATTTCTTGGCTATTTTCTAATATTATTTAATCAAAATATATAAGTCATATGCCGAATAATAATTTTATATTTTTAATCAACAAGCTATGTTAAGAATAAAATTAAACATAAATATTGTTTCAAAGGAATATCTTTCTACAGAATACATATTGCTTTACCATACATGATTAAGATATGCTTTTATAAAAAAAATTTCCATGGTTAATGTTTTGACATTAAATAAATAAAACAGCGTGTATAGAGATTAAAAAGTGTCCTATCCTTTGAAGGGGGCTTGCCACAGACAATTTAGCAGTAATATTCAAATTGAGGTCAAGCAAAATACAAAAGCTTTTAATTAGTATGAAAAAGAACTTTTGCTAAATTTGTTTTTCTGCATGAATAAATAGTGCAGAATGATCTTGGTCATAGAGGGGGCACTGATGGATAATGGTGTGGAGTATTAATTAGTGTTTGGAATTTCTCTTTTATTTAATAAATAGTACATTATAGAAAAACAATACTTGAATGGTGTTAAAGATTTATTTATGTACAAAATTAATCAAGGGACTTACTCTATATACCATTTTTAATATAGGAAATATTACATGTAGCCATGTTGACTAATTTTCAGAGATAACTGCTAGCCTCCCTTTTTTAAACAAAATGCATATATAATGTTATAATCAAAGTTTTAATCTATGTTNTAACTGATTCAAATGGATATATAATGCTCTTTAAGTCATTGATTTATGAAAGCATTCAATTATATGCACACATTTTTCCTCAGTATTTACAGGCATCAAACTATTTTTTTCTATCATCCCACCTAAACATTACACCAAGTCTGAACGGAAATATGTGGACTTCATCACCAGAATAAAGCTAGGTCCAGGCATTCAAGAAGGAACCTAATGAACTAGAATGACTTGGGCCCTTTTAGTACCCCCAGTTTGTCCCTTCTCTTAATTTCATATATACAGCCTATATACAGCTATGAGAAAGTTATCACAGTGATCAGGGTCACTCCTTTTGACTATTTGGTGCAGGAACTAAAACCCAGATGGACAAAACTCTAGGACAGTGGTTGTCAACCTGTGGGTCGGGACCCCATTTGGGGTCGATCGACCATTTCATGGGGGTCGCCAAGCAAGGCTGTCCGCCATTTTTTTGTCCGCCATTTTTTTTCCCCTTTTCCAGCGGGTGCCTTACCTCCCTTGGGCTGGGCCAGC